CTTTCAATATTTTCTTCCCTTTCGCACCGACAGGCTCTATTTACGCGATTTTTTCATCCGCGTAGAACGAATCCACGGATACGGATGTGTATATCTTTAAACTTTCGTCGGACGTAAATAAACGGATGTACGCGTCGGTTGTCGCAACGCTTTTAACGTTTCTAATCTGCCCCTCGGGCGAGGGGCGTGAATTTTTCCCCGCGTGAATTCCCGCAGCTGTGGCCGAAATTCAGGCTCGCGTAGCTCGTTCGTTTGGCCCGCTAATGGAAAGCGCAGCTGTTGTGGACGGTAAATTGACGAGATCTGTTCACACCTAACTATTATATATACGATCATGACGCTAAGTATATAAGTGCGTACGACCTAACTCGCCACAGCTTCTCTGCCCGCGATTATTTCTCCTGTAAAGGCCAGTGGAAGAGGATCGTTACCAACGTTGATCGATCAATTTCCACCACTGATGGTCGTGATCGAACCCGTGATCGTGGATTCCTCTCGAACGTCTTATCTCGAAGGGGATATCGAGGGACGAGCAACGCTCGAGGAAGATTCGCCGTGGACCAGGGCGAGCTTGGCTCACGCAAGATTGGCTCACGAGCTGAAGGGAAATCAAATTTTCGAAGAACAGAAGCGAGAAAATCCCCCGAGGGAGGCGAGCGAGTCGCGGGTGATGGAAGGAGGGAGGAAAGATGTTCGCAGGGGTGAAACGTAATTGTACACGGCAAAGGGGATTCAATTTACCGGACAATCCGGCCGGTTTACGTGCGATAAAAATTGAGGCAGATCTGGGCAAACAGGAAGAAGGAGGTTGGCTAGAAGGGGGTTTGAAACGTTTGTTTCCGATTAAAGAAACTGGCCGGCTGCCAAACAGTTGCCAACATCTCGAGAATCTCTCGTCCCTTCTCCTCGAGGAGCCGGGGGTTGGATCGCTCTCGGCTGACTTGGCAGAAAATGACGGCGACGCTCGAGGAGGACGCTGAAAGGAGCTTTGACAGAGCGCGGCACGAACCGGCCTCCCTCGTGAAAAAGAAGAAGAAGGGACTTCTTCGGCACCAGCTTCGTATCCAGCTGTTCCTCCTCATCAGCGGTTTTTTCGTTGCTCCAATGGAACTTTTTTTTGGACGCCAGTTTTTTCTTCAATTACCACGCCGGGTTTCTCGACTTTGACCGCTTTGGTCAGAGGGGCTACCTGCCTGACACTACCAAAATGACCGATTTACTATTTACAAAAGCTGCTATAGAACAAGTTACAGAAATACATATTTATTTCACGTAAGTTAACAAAAAAAAAAAATTTTTTTTTTTACTTTAAAATTCTAACAGCGACTTTATGGTTCTGGATGCGTGGTTGTAATGTTTATATTTCGAATAATGTTAACAGTTAGCTTTATCATTTGATTATTTAGACTCACTGATGCCCCAACTATGATAAATCGAATGTTAGTGAAATCTAATACGAAAATTATATAAAATAGACATCCACGCGTCCAGAGCCATAAAGTCGCTGTTAGCACTCATATGTGCGCAGTGTTAAATTATTAAGAAATTATTTTGCCATCTTTCAAACGTGGTATTAGATTGCGACTTATGGTTCCTTGGAAAAGTTTTACCTTCACGATGAGTAGAATTCAATGCAAAAAAAAAAAAATTTTTTTTTACTTTAAAATTCTAACAGCGACTTTATGGTTCTGGACGCGTGGTTGTAATGTTTATATTTCGAATAATGTTAACAGTTAGCTTTATCATTTGATTATTTAGACTCACACTGATATTGCAGCTGTAATAAATCAAATGTTAGTGAAAAATACGTAAAACAGATATCCACGCTATAAAGTCGTTGTTAGAACACACGCGTCCGCAGTGTTAAATGATGAAGAAACTTTTTTGCCATTTTTCAAAAGAACTATTAAGTTCCTTGGAAAAGTTTTACCTTCGTGATGAGAATACAATCAAAAGTAGAATACAATGCAAATGAAAAAGAAAAAGAAAAATTTTGAAATTCGAGGTCAAGATTAATTTTGCGGCAGGTTGTTTACCCGTATCTCCATCAAATCAAAAACATAGATCTATAATAGCCACCGATAAATTTTTCTTTCCACCCTGTACATTAAGCGTCGTGACTAAACAATTGCGCTGTGGTGTTACTCGACACGAAATGGCACTGTAACGATTAAATTTTCCTTTCTTCTTGCGAGTATCGTTCCTCAAGATGTCTCCTTTTTGGAGAGATAATTTCCGTTACGTGGATGTAAATGAACAAGCTCGGAAGAATGG